AAAAGGAAGTCCAAAAGATTACTGAAGAAAATACTTCCTTAAAAATTAGAATAGAGCAATTGGAAGCTAGTGACTTTATGAGAAATCAAGACACTGTAAAACAAATCCAAAAGAATGAAAAATTAGAAAACAATGTGAAATATCTCATTGGAAAAACAACTGACCTGGAAAATAGATCCAGGAGAGAGAATTTAAAAATTATTGGACTATCTGAAAGCCATGATCAAAAAAAGAGCCTAGACATCATCTTTCAAGAAATTATCAAGGAAAACTGCCCTGATATATTAGAACCAGAGGGCAAAATAGAAATTGAAAGAATCCACAGATCTCCTCCTGAAAGAGATCCCCAAAGGAAAACTCCTAGGAATATTGTAGCCAAATTCCAGAGTTCCCAGGTCAAGGAGAAAATATTACAAGCTGCCAGAAGGAAACAATTCAAATACTGTGGAAACACAATCAGGATAACACAAGATTTAGCAGCTTCTACATTAAAGGACCACAGGGCATGGAATATAATATTCCGGAGGGCAAAGGAGATAGGATTACAACCAAGAATCACCTACCCAGCAAAACTGAGTATAATCCTTCAGGGGAAAAAATGGTCATTCAGTGAAATAGAGGACTTTCAAGCATTCCTGATGAAAAGACCAGAGCTGAATAGAAAATTTGACTTTCAAATACAGGACTCAAGTAACATGAAGAGGTAAACAGGAAAGAGAAATCATAAGAGACTTATTAAGATTGAACTGTTTACATTCCTGCATGGAAAGATGGATGTATAACTCATGCGACCTTTCTCAGTATTAGGGTAGTTGAAGGAAAAAAAAATATGTTTATGTATATATAGATGGTGAGAGGGCACATGGTGAGTTGAAGATTAAGGGGTCATATCTGGAGAGTAAAATTAAGGAGAAGAGGATTATACTCAGAGAAGAAGAAAGGGAGAGGTAGAATGGGGTAAATTATCTCACAAAAAAAAAACAGAAAAGAAAAATCTCTTACAGTGGAGGGGAAGCAGGGAAAGGTGAGAGGGAATGAGTGAATCTTATTCTCATAGGATTTGGCTTAAGGAGGGAATAACATACACATTCAATTGGGTATGGAAATCTGTCTTACAGGAAAATAGGAGGAGAAGGGGACAAGAGATCAGGGGGGTGATAGAGAGGAGGGTAGATTGGGAAAGGGGGTAATCACAAGGATATACTTCTGAGGAGGGACAGGGTCAAAAGAAAGAATAGAATAAATTGGAGGGCAGGATAGGATTAAAGGAAATAGAGTTAATTTTTCACAACATGTCTACTATGGAAGTGTTTTGCATAAGCTGTTTGCCTTTTCAGTGAGGCTGGGTGGGAGGGAGGGAGGAAGAGAGAAAATTTGAAACCTAAAGTTTTAAAAAACATATGCTTTAAAAAAATGTTTTTGCATGCTACTGGGAAATAAGAAATACAGGAGATGGGGTATAGAAGTCTATCCTGCCTTACAGGAAAATAGAAGGGGAAGGGGATAAGAGAAGGGGGGAGAGATAGAAGAGAGGACAGACTAGGGGAAGGGATTTTCAGAATGCATGCCATCTTGGGGTGGGGGAGGGGTGAGATGGGGCAAAAATTTGGAACTCAAAAACTTGTGGAAGTGAATGTTGAAAACTAAAAATAAATAAATTTGTGTTTTGAAAAATCATAATTAAAGACCCACTATATATCCAGCAATTATTTTAAGAAATGAAGAGGACACAAAAAATGGAGAAGACATTATCACTGGCTTCTAGGTATTAATATTTTAAAATGAAGCCATTTTCACATGAAACAATAAAAAAAATTGGTGGCAAGTTATAATCAAAAATCCCTAGATGGGATATAATGAAAAAGTGTTTTTTAAGTACCTAAGACTAGAAGGGAGAGAGAATTCATTAGGAAAGGCTTCTTAGAGGATGTCAGACTTCATTTTTGAGGATCACATTTGGCCTGAGCATTTCAGGTTTTAGATAAAAGCATGAATGAGAGTATGAAAGTAGAAATGTAGACACAGAGACATGAGGAAATAGGTTTGAAAAAAATATTTTGCATCTGGCATCTTTCTGGAAGAATCACTCACTTCAGGATTGCATAGCATGTTACTTCCTAGATAAAAAAAAATAAGAGAATAGCATTATAAGAAGGCATCAAAACAGGGCCAATCCACAGCACAGGGCCAGCCCCTTCCTTGGATCTCCACATAAAAACATGATAATGTTTCTGAGAACATGTTTTATACTATATCCTTCATAACTTATAGTAGCACTCACATTTTTCTGAGTGAAGTTTGAATTGGGGTGGTGGTGAGATAACTATGATGGCAGGAAATAGGATCACAACATCTTTCCTTTGTTGACATGAATAATGCCATTTTAGAATAAACATTCATGTTCAGTATTAAATGGGTGCTCACTTCTAATCTTTATGTTTCCCCTTCCATTAGCTGAACTCTAAGAGCGTGGCCAAACAAAAGACATCATGGAACATGAGGTGAAGGACAGAATAGCAGATAAGAAAGTCCCTGTTTACTCCCTATAACACAACAAACTGCCCCCCAGAGCAGTGGTTGGTGAGTTGTAAACCCAGCTTGAGTGTGTATGTATTTCCTATAAGTACCTGTGGGGCATGGTTTGTATTACAAAAAGCACTTACTCCATTGGTTGTTTAGTTGTTGTACTTCATTCTTGAAGAGGACCAAAATGACATCACTATGTTATAGTGTGTCAGGCTATGGCTTATCAGACCAATAGCTCAGAGCTGAGCACAAGTATTCCATATGAACATATGGGGTGGATTCTCTAAATTTGTGCATCTTGTATTTCTTTTGAAAAAAATGGTAAAGTGATATGGGTGATGTATTTCAATTCATGCATAAACTGGATTTGAATGAGGTAGAGTTGTATGAACGCATCAGCTTCATTCTCTCTTCCACAGCCATCACAGTCCAGTAGCAGGACAGAATCAAGATGACTGGTGATGGCTCCAGATGCAGTCACATCTTCAATGTCTAAATTGGAACAATTTTTTCTCGTCGGCTCATTCTACCAGAAGTTTTCACATTCTCAGGGTAGACATCCTCATACCTCACTGACTCATTTGAGACCCCTCGGTTACTCTTAACCTGATTTAGCCCAGCTGCCAAATGATTTACCAGGATGTGGCCACTGCACATGCTACAGCTTCTTAGAGCCATGAGTGAGAGTTAAGTGGATCAGGTAGACACCAAAGGTGGGAAAAAGCCCTCATACCAGAAATGCTATTCTTTTTTTAACACGCCCTTCACCCTACTTACTCCACCAAGACATACTATGCTACTGGAAGCTGATATTTATCCTTGACTAGGCTATTAGGCAGAATAAAGGGTTTTATTCCATATTCAAAACTTTAATAAAATTGATATTCTATTCTGTAGAATAGAACCATCCCACACATCAGTACTCTGGAACACAAATCACAATTGAGATGATTTACAGGGCCTCATGAGATTAAGAGTATCACTGGCTTGCTGTGTGGTTTTAAGATCAAGCCTGCAGTCATCAGCTTAGCTTTCTCTTCATAGCCTAATTTGAGCACATCCAAAATCTCAAAATTGGCCTATTACTGCCTAGGTGATAGTCATAAGGCTATTCTACCTGAGGCCATCCTTACCAACTGTCAACCAAGTGTCACACAGTGGGCAGGGAGGCTGGCCTGCCTAAAACAGTAAGGCCTTAGTAGAGAAAGACAAGAAGCAGCACGTGGCAGTAAGGGAAACCACCACCACCTTGACCACCCTTCAGACACTGATGTAGACACCATAGCATGCGAAACCCAATAGCTCTGGAAATAGTAGTGCCTCCCAAAATCATTAGACTTGCTTCCAGCCCCATTCCCACAGCCATCATTTTGGGGAGAAATAATTGTGGAAAGTATAACCATCTTTCTCATCACCCCCAGCAACAACTATTAACCAGTTGCTACCAAAGGGCAGAGGGAGGCACAAGAGTCCTGAAAGTAACAATACCTCCCAAACCACCATTCCTGTTTCCATCCCATCCCTCACAGCTATCACTCAAGGAAGCAACTCCTATGGAGATAGGGCCAGCTATCCTCAACAGCCATCTGCATGCACAGGTCAACCAAGTTAGCTTAGCTGAGACAATAAGGCAACCTGAAGGAGAAAAAGGAGGTGGCATGTACCAGGAAAGTCAAATCACCTCCACCTTACCATCATCTCCCCTCAAAACCTGATGGAAACTTCCCAAGGCCATGAACCCTAGAACCCTCAGAATAGTGAGATTAAATAATAACATTAAGGAGGTATTTACAACTGCTTTTCCATTTCTTCCTGGGGACTATGGGACTTTTCCATCTGATATGCAGCTAAAACCTTCCATTTCAGCTATCTTCCCAAATAGAATGTGAGCTCTTGACGGCATGGGTTGTCGTACTTTTCTCTTTGTATCCTCAGTGCTTTGCATGTAAGCAAGTACTTAATGAATGCTTCATTCTTTCCTATTGGACTGATCCCATCTATATAGCTACATAATGACCCAGGTGAAATAAATGCCAAAAGGAGATGGTATAAACCATTACCAAATATCATATATGCAAATGGAGCCAGCAGGGTAACTAACACTGCACCACCTTTTATCTATGTGCCCTTGACTTCTGCTTTAAAACCTGAGTAATGGAATTCGGTTCCTCACCCCTTGGATCAATTTACCTGAGTTGCCAATAGCTGCCATTTCCTTGTTCTAGCTTTAAATTCCTGGGAAGAGGTAAAATTGTATTGTCAATGATGTTCTTTCAACTGTGGGCATCTGGGAGTTTTTCTCTACAGTCTCAAATGCCTTCCTCATCTTAAATAAAGAAATAATTCCATAGATGAGTTTTTATTTCTTTTTAATATGATGATATTATCAATGGTACCCAACACAGGTATATATGTTTCTCCTTCCTAATACAGGGGTGCCTTGGGGTAAGGTTGTAAGACATGTAGGGTATGAGATCTCCAGTATTAGGGAAATAGGTTAGAAATATATGTTTCACCAATGGCAGAAATACTCTTTTATTGGAGGTAAAAATCCATAGCTTTCTACTACTCTTTGGAGGTCCTATAGGCTATGAGGTCTACTACACGGTTGTTATAACCATATTCATTGTCATAGAAGGAAATGAGCTTGACAAAAGTAGTATTTAATGATAATACAAACACTAGCACTGAAGATACAAAAGGGTTGTTCTTTTTAAAGTCACATAATACAACCTAGTGCTCTGTGTAAGCCAAGATTCTCTTCAAGTGCCCCTCTGATGCTTGTTTTTACCATTTTATTGATATCATATTTGACAGGATTTTCCGGGAGGCAGACCAGATACACAACAAAAACATGGAAGGCCATGCCTGTGAGCTTTCCATTCAGCTTAAGGATGAACTTGTCCATAACTACCACAGCACCAGTGGAAGCAAGGACGATATTTTGGGCAGTACCACCACATCCATAATACCACAATTCACAAGAGGTCCATTTACTGTCCTCTGGGTAACAGTAATGACAACATTGTCATGGTCTTGGCTAGGGGAGCCATGCAATTGGTAGAGCAAGAAGCATTACTAACAATCTTAAGAGAATAATTATTTTTCTCATGTTTCACTCCCATCTTGAACATAGGGGCATCAATAGTATGTATGGCAATGATGATACACTTAGCTCCCTCTTTCAAAGGAGCCCCAGTCTTTTCCAAAGTGGTAAAGACATACAGTTGACTCTACTACAAACTAAGTCACATGATTTCCCAATTTAATATTGATGGGATCACAGTCTTCTGAGATAGCAATGGCTTTTCCACTGATCACCAGCTTTCAATTCTCAGCCTTAAAAATATCTTTGAACATTCTGGAATCATACTGGAACCCAATAAGCCATTTAGTTGATGTTAATGAAGGTTATAATGAATTTATAACAACTGCTCTGCCTGAAGTGAATGAAATTCTAATTACTGGGTACAAAATCTGGCCAAATGCTTTGACTCTGACCTTCACCATCTCATCTCAGGGATGTGGTTGAAGCAGTGGATTCTGACACTGAGTTTGGGAGAATAGCTGAGACCTATAGTTGAGCTTCTGAGAAGAAAATACACAATTAGGTCATTAGTGAACAATGTATCCTAAATTACTTTGTCAGTTTTCTAACAGATATTTTAGCTTTAGGAGTGGGACTCAAGTCAGAGAAGGTTTAATGGGGAAGACAAAAGGATAGGGAGAATTTAAGGTTTGGAACATGGGGTGCTCTTGGTAATCGTATGAGTGATTGAATTACTGAAGGTAGCATTTGTATAGGAAGCAAATCAGACCATGAGCCAATGAGAATCAACAAAAAGATAAAAGGAATGGAGGATTATCAGAGACAAAGCAGATCTATCTCATTTATTTAGTAAAACACCATGATAGTTAGAAATATAAGTGGGGTAATATAAATGAGAAACCTTCTGTTTTTCTCTGGAGTAGCTACTAACAGTTCAGGTTCTTCATAGAGGTCCCAGGCAAGGGATATTTAATATAATATTATAATATCATATAATACTGTAATAATATAGGGATATTATTAGGATAGAGGACTATTTGATTACTTTTATGAGAATGACAACTTAGTTCTATTCCAAATGTCTATGAGCTCTATAGGAAGTCTAAAAGCTTCAAAAGAAAAGTTTTGGTCCAAAAATATCTCCAGGGTTCCAGAAGAGACATACAAATGCCTATTAAGTACAGTAGGACAGGAGTTGGGAACCTGTGGCCTCGAGGCCACATGTGCCCTTCTAGCTCCTTGAGCACTGCCTTTTGACTGAGTTCAAGTCTGACAGAATAAATTCTCTTCAGTCAAAGGGCTGCAATTGAGGACCTAGAGGGCCACATGTGGCCTTGAGGTGGAAGATTCCCCACTGCTGGAGTACGAAATTTAGGAAGAGACTGACCTTATGGAAAATATCCTCCAAGTGCAAGCAGTAGGCAAATTTTTGGAAACACTCTATGAACTGCTTGATGAAGAGAGAACCCACTTCATTAACTCTCCAAGAAATGTTATCTGAAAATAAAAGGGAGATTAAGATTCAGGGAGCTGTGTTAGCTTTAGCAATAAGAGGGAAAAAAATAAATTGAAGAAATTAGAATAGGCAAAGAAAAACTAGGATTCTCTAAATATGCTATCATATCATCTGTACAAACAAAGCCAATGAAACCAAGATTAGGAGAGAGGCAGAAAACAGGGAAAGAATTTTTACAACCAGTGTCTCTGATAAATGCCTCATTTCTAAAATATATAGAGAATTGTATCAAATTAATAAAAATACAAATCATTCCCCAATTGATAAATGGTGAAAAGATATGAGCAGGTAGTTTTCAGACGAAAATATTAAAGCTATCCATAGTCATATGAAAAATGCTCCATATCACTATTGATTAGAGAAATACAAATCAAAACAGCTCTGAGGTAACACATCACAACTACCAGACTGGCTAAAATGACAAAATAAGGAAATGGTAAATACTGGAGATATGGGGAAATTGGAACACTAAAGATGGTTGGTGGAGTTGTGAACTGATCCAACCATTCTGGAGAGCAATTTGGAACTATGCCAAAAGGGCTATAAAACTATGCATACCCTTTGATCCAGCAACACCACTTCTAGGTCTATATCCCAAAGAGAACAGACAAATGGGAAAAGGACCCACATGTACAAAAATATTTATAGCAGCTCTTTTTGTGGTGGCAAAGAATGGAAATTGAGAGGATGCCCATCAGCTGGGGAATGGCTAAACAAATTGTGGTATATGAATGTAATGGAATAGTGTTGTGTTATAAGAAATGATGAGAAGGCAGACTTCGGGAAAACTTGGAAAGACTTATACGAACTGATGCTGAGTGAAGTGAGCAGAAACAGGAGAACACTGTACACAGGAAGAGCCACATTGTGTGATGACTAAATCTCATAGACTTATCTCTTCCTAGCAATACAAGGATATAAGATAACTCCAAAAGACTCATGATAAAAAATGCTGTCCACATCCAGAAAAAAAGAACTGTGAAGTCTGAATGCAGATCAAAGTGTATTATTTGCTTTCTCTCTCTCTCTCTCTTTTTGTTGCTCCTTCCTTCTCATGGTTTAATTCTTCTTTACAACATGGCTAATGTGAAAATAGGTTTAATATGAATGTATATGTTGAGCTTATATCGATTTACACACTGTCTTGGGGTGGGGGAGGGAAGAATTGGGGAGAAAATTGAGAACTTGAAATCTTATTTTTGAGATTTTGATATCTTTGAAGTGAATGTTGAAAACTACAAATAAATAAATACATTTATTTAAAAAAATAAGATTCAGAAACCTGACTTTTGTCTCAGAAGTTAACTGAGAGGTGAAATTTTGGAACTATTTCTGCTTAGGTGGAGTGGGCATTAGAAACAATTCAACGTGATTTGACTAACCTTTATCGAGCATTTATAAATTATATTCCTAAACAAGGTCAGTGCTTAATGTATAGAAGCTACCATAGCAAATAGAGATTATGTCAAGCTAGACTCCAGAGTAACAATCTCCTTAGGCTTACAGGGGCCAATTCTACACAAGAAGAGTAAGACTACAGATGAAGAATAGATTTTGTTACATTTGTTTTGTTTTGTTTTTTATTTATAAGCAACAGGTTAAATTGGCCAAGGAAGGCAGGGTAAATCATCAGATATGATGCATAGATTGATTTCTGAACACTTCCAGAGGTGATGAAACCATATGTATCTCTTTGTCTTTCTCCCTTTTGAAAGTGAGAGAGGGAAAGTAGATTACAGCTCATTAGTTGTAGTGAGTAGAAAACACCCAGATTCACTCCCAGCAAGAGACTTTCTGATTAGCTAAAAATAAACTTGGGATTCGAAAAAGAGATAAGTAGTTTGATCTAGAACACTCAAATGAACAAATTGCAAATCTACATGGGCTGATTTAGAGTAGAAGATGATGCTCCCTTGGGGAAGCCTAGAGAAGTTAGATACCCCGAGTTGCAAAAAGGCCAAAATAAGTGTGAAGAAATCAGTAAATAGTTTGAAACTGAGTAATTGCCTTCATAAACCTTGCCCTGATCTATAATGTTTGAATTTGTATATTTTCTTCCATCCTAAATAGAAATAGGGATTAGACTTGTGTTTTTTTGGAATGTGTAATGGTACAGTGCAGAATGTCCCTCTGCCAATGCTGAATGTCACCTTTCTAACTTGTGATCTTAGAGAGTTATCTAGAGGAATGACAGGTTAGGTGACTTGTGCAGGGTCATGCAGCCTATACACATCATCATGCCCTATGTGGACAGGCTAAGCCTTCCTAGCTTTGAAATTAGATCTCTAAGTACTATACTAAACGGTTTCTTCCCTTGTAAATTAGAACTACAAAAGTATTTCTTGAATGCTAAATAAAGGCCGTGGTAGGACAAAGGAGAAAGGGAGATGTCAGAATCAGGTACCAATTTATGAGAGTTGATGATAGTATAAGAAATAAGTAATTAGGAATCAGAGAGCTGATATAGCAGGTACAATGATCAGGAAAGCTCATGTGATGCATTACTATTGAAAGTTCTGGGGGCAGGTGGATGGCACGGTGGATAGAGCTCTGGCCTTGGAGTTAGAAGGACTTGAGTTCAAATCTGGCTTCAGATACTTGACACTTACTAGCTGTGTGACCCTGGACAAGTCATTTAATCCTGATTGCTTCACCAAAAAAGCAAAATAAAAAGTTCTGGGGCCCAATGTAATAGACAACTCAAACAAGATTAGCAAGCTAAAGGCCTAAGGTTGATTTTTTAGATCAGGTAGTTGTGAACTGACTTGACATGATAGTATATGAGTACAACAAACGGAAGGAAGCTAGGAAAGAAGGAATCTAGGAAGGAAGAAAAACGTTTTTCCCCTTTTAGTTATCTCTTGCCTCAGTTCCTGCTCCAAATAGCTTAAATGCCTCATCCCACCTCCACATTGCACACAGAATACAGCATATAGTTCTTGAAAGCAGTTTTAAAAGTGAATATTATAATGTATGGTAATAAGGCCCTGCCTAGGGTAGCTTGGCACTATGGAAAGAGCATTGACTCTACAGTCAGAGCACATGAGTGCCAGTCTCAGAACTGATGCTTAAAATCTATTTGCCCTTGGCATGAACCTCAGTTTCTTTACTTGTAAAAGGAGGAGACTGAAGTAATTTACCTCTGAAGTTCTTTCTTGAGGGCCTTATGGATCATTAGAAACATTAGAGTGGGGGCCAAAATGAAAGAAAAAAAAACAGAGTAAAAAGATCTTAAATATCTAGGTGAATATGAAGTAGGGTGATGGTTGATCAGTAGAAGGATATTGGAGGCCTGGTGGTAGTAATAGTAAACTGGAGAGTTATAGTATAGGAAATGTAGAATATAGAAGGAAGGGCACACAGGGAATTTGAGTCATAGAAGCAAAATGCCAAGCATGAACTTTATATAACTGTTGAGTAGAGGACACATGTAGTAGTAATAATAATAGGAATAACAAGAATAATAATAACTAGCATTTATGTAATGTTTTAAGGTTTGCAAAGCACTTTGCATATGTTATTTCTTTTAATCTTCACCATAACCCTTTGCAATAGGTACAATTACTATTCCCATTTTATAGATGATGAAACTGAAGCCGAGAGAAATTAAGTGATTTTGAATTCTAGTGTTCTTAACTCCAAGAACAGTACTCAAAGCACTATGCCAACTAGCTGCCCTAGAAAGAATATTCTATCTAATGCATAATGCCTTGGCAAAGGCATTTTTCATTTGAAAAGAATTACCTTTCTCTACTCTCTACTCCCAATTTTCCATATTACTAATGGTTTGCCAAGCAGAGAATACAAAAAAAAAAAAACTAGCCTTGGAGCAGGAAGATCTAGGTTCTTATCTAGCCTCTGACATATAGTTCCTGAGTGATCCTAGGCAAGTCACTTAACCTCTGAGTGCTTATCTTAGCAACTAGAATTCAGAGAAGCTGCTGAAGGGAATGACCTCATCCGGGAGTACCCTCTATCAAAGAAATCATAGATCCAGTCTCAATAACAACACCTTCCATTATTCCTTCAAAACTCTACCTTGGTTAGTGTCAAGGTGGACTAAATTTGAGCAGTGGTCAAAACAATGCAGTTGAATGTATGGAGTAACAGAGACATGGAACAGCATTCCTAAACCTGAAAAGCCTCATTATACACACACACACACACACACACACACACACACACACACATACATGTATACATATAAATATGCTTATATATTTATATGAACTTTCTGTACTATTTATATGTGTATATGTGTATACAAGAGTATATATGTGTGTATATTCATATATGTGTATGTACTTTACATATTACATATGCTATACAGATTACATGTAATAGAGAGAATGTATATGTGTGTACACATGTATGTAGACATATATTTAAGCATATGTATACTATATATTTTTATATAGACTACATTCTATATATAATGTATGTGTACATGTACATGTGCACATAGGCATATGAATATACATTTTTGTGCATTTGCACAGATATGTATACGTACCTATTTGCATAGCATATCTGTATATTTTATTTCAATTAATATAATTTGACTCTCAATTATACTGTTTTATAAATGTTCCAAATTATTTTTTCATGACTGCCCTAGAAACAAGTCAGTGTGGTTTAAAGGACATAACATCTGGTCTTGGAGTCAAGATCTGGGTTCAATTATGACTCTGGTTTTTAAAGGTTGTGTGACCCTACATAAGCCACTTCATGTCTCAGGTCTCTAAGACTATAAATTTCAGAGAAGCTACTGCCTGGAATTGGTAGAAGATTCATCATCCTTTTCATAAGGATTTATTTTTAGCCAGGTGGAACTTAAGAGTCATTGATCCCCACAGTCTCATTTAACACATGCAGAATATACGATGCCCAGAGAGGTTAAGTAGTACGTGGCAGCACTGGTATTCAAATCCAGATCTTCTGATTCCAAACCTAGAAGGCTTTGATTGCACATCACTTATTCCCATCTTTTCATTTAACAACTAGAAAGTAAGCTAGGATGTTTCCTGATCTTCTATTCCTTTCTAATCCCTGAAGTCTCTAGAGCAAAGATAGGTAAGAGTAAAAAAAAAAATTAGTATTAGATTGAGCATTAATTAATCTAATGGAGAATAAAAAAGCATCTTTGAATAGAAATTTTAGTAGGACCTCCAACAGTACTCTCCACTTTGCTGCAATGCCACTTCATCATGAAGGTTGCTCTCTTCCCTACAAATACATCTCCCAGAAAATCATATACAAATGAAGACTTGTGGGAATTACTTCCACTCATCTACCAATTTGCTACTATTCTTCTTCTAGCATGACAAATATCCAGCTCTACCCAAGACAGGATAAATGGAGTGTGTTTCCAAACTGAAAGATAGGGGGGAGAAAAGGATCAAAACTTAATTTGGATGAATCTATGTTGAACAATGTATTTCTAGCAGGATATAACAGTTTCTATGATTTCAGGTCATTCGTTTATAAGTATGAGGTATAGTGCACACAGTCTAGAGATGTTTTTACTCTTTCCCTAAGGAGAAGGACAGAATTGTGGATAAGCATAGGCTTCTCCCCCTGTCACCCATCCCCACCCCAGAGAAAGTATAGACTACATTGCAGGATGCTGTCAATGACTGAACATATTTAGATCAATTTATAGCCAAACACCTACCTCCTTGGCATGCCTGGGTGATGATAACCTTGGGTTTACCCCTTAGACTGGGGCAATTACAGTTATTGAAAGTTTGGAAGATGATATTAGTGGTCAGCACATCTGGCTTTTGCTTTTCATGCCTTATTCCACAAATACCATCCCTGGTGCCATGTGACATGAACACCAAAAATGTGGTGTCAGAAAACCAGTGCTCTCTGTGGTCAGCGAATGCCTTCAACACTGACTCCTTTTCCTGAGAGACACTCAAAAGTTAATAATTACAAATAGCCAGCAAAATGGCATAAATTTCTTCCGCATAGTCATCAATCCTTAAACTTCAAAAGAAAAGAATACTGTTCCAGGTCCAAATTAATTGTAGCTGATTTCACAGTATAAGAAGACAGAACCTCACAGTCAGGTGGGACCACAACTGTGGGCTGCCCAAAATAGGGCAAGGGGACACTGAAAAGCATTCCTATAGAAGAGGTATGTTTCTGCAGTAGGAGACAAGAACCTCCTGGGGCAGGGGGTCATTAGTCAGTGGAGAGTTTGCAAATTGGGAGATGTGTTTTTCTGAAAGACTGCTTTGTTTCTAGGACAGCATTCCACACCTGGAGAAGGAATATGTGATATGCTAGTGAGTAATTAGTAATTAGAGTTGTAGGGGTAAAAAACAACATAGCAAAACATGTTGTTTGGCATGGGCACTTCATAAGGATGACAAAGGAATATAGCTTTCCTTATTATTTGAGAAATAGGGTAACCACTACCTTAGGACACTGCTTCTATATGACATGAGTTGCTTCCTCCAGGAATTTATATTTTGTCTTTACTTTTCTTATAAATACAGGTATAAATATTACTTTATTAAATAAGGAAATGTATTCACTAAAGGAAACGTGAAGTATGGCTTCCAGAAAGCTAAAAGATTGGATTTTTAAGCAGTTATAAACACGTATACTTTTTTTTTGTTTTTCTTTCCAGTCAATCAACAAATTAGCATTTATTAACTACTGACATTGTATCATGTACTTACAAGATATCACATATTGTGTACTGTAGAGAATATGAAGAAAGACAAAAAACAACCCCTGCTCCCGAGACACTCATAGTCTAATGGGGGAGTTGGGACAATGTATAAACTACCATGTACAAACAAGATATATACAACAAACAAAAGGAAGGCACTAACATTAAGGGTAATCAGGAAAGTCTTGTAGAAGGTGATGCTTTAGATGAAACTGGAAAAAAACCAGGGAAGCCAGGAGGTAAAGATGAAGACAGAGAGCATTCCAGGTATTAGAGCCAGAAAGTTAAAAATTCTTGGTTTTGGGAGATAAAGTGTCTTCTGCAACAAACAGCAAGGAGACTAGTGTCACTGGATTGCAGAATATAGAGGATGGGGTATGGTAGGGTAAGGGATAAGAAAACTATAATGTTAAGAAGGGGTCAGCTTATGGAGGACTTTAAAAGTCAAAAAAGGGATTTTATATTCAATCCTCAGATAATAAGGAGCCATAGTATTTTATGAATGAAGATGGGAGAAGGTATGATACGGTCAAACTTGTACTTCAGAAAGATCACTTTGATAGCTCTGTGAAGGATGTACTGAATTGGAAGAGACTCAAAGCAGGGAGCTGCAAAAGCCAGCAGACTATTCAATATTCCAAGCATGAGGTAATAAAGGTCTGCAGCAGGTTGATGACAGTGTCAGAGAAGAAAAAGTTTGAGAGATTTTTCAAAGGTTGAATCAATAGGACTTGGAAATATATTGGATATGGAGAATGAGAGAGGAAATGAAAATTCAAGTAAGTAGAGTGTTTCCACATGTGTAGCACCTAGATAAATCCTGCTGAAGCCATGTGGGAACTTCATTCTGCTTTTACCCTTATGAACTATTTTACCAGTAATCCAGACTTCAAGGATATGTCTTGAGCTTCCATAATTGTGCATAAACAAAATCAATATTGCTAAAATAAGAAGGGAAGCTATTACTTAGTGGATGATATTTATATTAAATATCTCTAATATGTATGTGATGTCAATCACTCATACATATATGTATATTACATGTAAACAGGTATGTATATCACAAATTCATGGCCTCTATATTTGTGCTACTCTGTTTATGTATTCATTTTGTGTGTGTGTGTGTATGTGTGTGTGTGTGTGTGTGTGTGCATAGATAGATAGATAGATAGATATAGTTGTGGTTGCTGTTATTGTTGTTCAGTCATTTCGGTTGTGTCTGACTCTTCATGACCCCATTTGGGGTTTTCTTGGCAAAGATGCTATAGTAGTTTACTATTTCCTTTTTTAGCACAATTTACAGATGAGGAACAGGGTTAAGTGACTTGCCCAGGGTCACACAGCTAGTAAGTATTTGAGGTCAGATCTGTACTCATAAAGATAAGTCTTCTTGATTCTAGGCCCAGTGCTCTATCCACTGTATCACCATATAGAGATATATAATATATATAAAATATAATAATAAAACATAACAATGAAAAGAATATAAATGTACATATGTATGTGTATATATATGTATGTGTATATATACGTATGTGTGTGTGTATATATATATATATATACACACACACAACATACATATCACAAATATAGAGGTTATTCCCAGATGGATAAGTTGGCAATAATGAATAAACAGTTATGAAAAAAATTAGGAACTATTAACCACCTTGTGAATGATTTCTCCAAATCACCAATAATAAAAAAATGCCAACCAAAGACACTCAGAGGTTTCATTTCATATCCAGAAAACTGCCTAAGATAAGAAAATATGAGAATAAGCAATGTTGTAAAAAATGTGAAAAGACAGGAATATTGATATACTCTTTGTACAGCTCTGAATTGCTTTTAACTATTAGAGAAAACAATTGAGATTGTTTTGAATAAAAACAATTTATTATTCTAAGAAAGTGAAAAAATGTCCACAAACTTTGTCCCAGAGATCCCAGTTATACATATATATGCAAAGAAGGTCAAATATAGAAAGAACAGCAAAAAAAAAAAGTGCATAAATATTTACAGCAGCATTTTTTTTAATTAGGAAAGAACTGGAAACAAAAGAGGTGAGCAGTAATTAAGGATTGGTCAAAGTTGTTTCGTGAATGTTGTAATATAAGAAATAATAAATACAAAAGAACTGAAAAAGTATAGAAACATATATGAATTGATGCAAAGTGAAATAAGCAATAGAAAATAATAAAACATGTAATTTTACAGTACTGTAAACTGAAAGCATATCTATCATACAAAAATTAAATTAAATATTGTATAACTATAATGACCAAGCCTGACCCCCCAAAAAAATATAAGAAATTATACCTTTCCATTCTTTGCAGATTTGAGTGACAATCAGTGAGTAAAATCATATAAGTTTTCAATCTCACTTTATGTGTTAATTTTGCTGAACTTTTCTTCCTTTCTTTTTCTCCTTTCTTTCTTTCTTTTTAAAATTTTGTTGTTGATATTGTTATAGGGTATGACTCTTTGGCTAGTCCAGGGATTAGAGATGTATTTAGAAATGAAAGCCATATGAAAAGTAACAGATAAAACATGAAAAAAAGGCTCTTAACTATGGATTCACTGTGACAAGAAATATAAGATAAAAATGAGGGACCAGTGATGAGAGATGAAGTCATATGGATTGATAAAATAGACAGCAGAATTTGAACTGTGGTAATGAGAGAGGAAAACACACAAAGAAGTGGAACCAGAATGCAGGAAGCAAATATAGGAGGGGGGCTTTTGGAAGGTGTCAAGGGATATACCAGGGGCAAGAAACAATATTTATCCCAGATCCTGTAAATAGCAGGGTCATAAATTGGTGATTCTTCAGGTTCCAATTCTTTAAAAGAACTGTGAGTCTCAGATCTGTGTTAGGTTCTTCTAAAAATACGTTGAAGTACATTAGCCCAGGTCTCTATAACTGTGAGATTGGCCTGTGGTGATATACCAATTTGTGTTTATATATCTCTTGGAAAGATTGAAGTGGGTGGTAGGCTGTGATCCTTACCTGTGCTGTAAGGTTTTCTTTGACATCCACATTATATCCTAGGTCCTTAAGTCGTTCAGTCATTCCCAAAACATCATGTTCAGCCCCACTTTGTTCAGGTAAGTGATCAAATTCAATGTTACAGATGATGAGAGCCTGAAGTTTATGGACACCCTTTTCCATTATAGGATATATCTGTAAGGAATGGGTATAGGATAAGTTGACTCCATTTCTTCCTGTTTGCCTCATGAGCCTAAACAGTGTTGCTACCTTAAATTCTAGGAAGAGCTAACACCATTGATATTCATGTTACTTATTGACCTGGGCTTGACTTAGCAATACTGTGGATAGAAGTAAAGTCTTATTTCAGTTTGACCAGATATTGCTAATGCTTTAGAAGAGGGAGCTAGATAACAAAGTGGTTAGACTATGAGACCTGCAATCAGGAAAAACTTATTCCTAATACTGCCACAGACAATTACTAGCTGTATTTGCTTGGACAAGGCATCCTCTCCACTTGCCTTAGATTCATTATCTCTAAAATGGTAATACTACTGACTCCTACCTCCCAGAGTTGTGAGGGTAAAATTAGATAATGTGTTTACAGTACTCTGCAAATCTTAATGCACTATATAAATCTAGCTATATTATTATTATTATTATTATTATTGTCATCATCATTATCATTCATAGGATTCACTGTTTTTCCTCTAACATGTTTAGGGCTTTCCAATCACCTTTTTCATACTATTCTCCCTTTTTTCAAAAACTCCTCAGCCCCAACCTCCTCTGCTCATCAAAATTATAAACATTATTTAAGAATCCCCTTAAACAAAGGTGTCAAAAATAGTGTGGTCCACATTAAAGAGTACAACCCAAACCAGATTAAAATGTAATTTAAAAATATTTAATAAGCTAAGTAAAAATACAGTAAAATATACATAATATTACATCTCAAAACTAAGTCAATATGTATAGTTTATTGGTCCTTGTTTCATCTTTCTATGCAACCTTTTTTTAATATATATGGATGTATTTATATATGTATATATGTATGTGTGCATATATACATGTACATACATATATATAAATATATGTGTGTATATTATATATACATATATGGATATATACACATATACACATATATATACATACATATGTATATATACATATATACATACATATGTGTGTATATATATACATATATATATATACATATATATATATGTATATATATATATACACACACACACATATATACATATATATAAAAACTATTTTATTTTTGGTTCCAAGTTCTCTCACTCCGTCTATCCCCGATCCCCACCCATTAAGAAGGCAGTAAATACTACCCATTAGCATTTTATATCATGCATTCTTTGTAGTTGTGGTGAATCATTGCAATGATCAGTTACTAAGTCTTTCATAGTATATGATTTTTACAGTATTGCTGTTCTGTGCACAGTGTTCTCCTGATTCTGCTCCCTCCACTTTACATAAGGTCATATAATTCCTTGCAGGTTTTTCTGAAACCGTTCCTTTCATTATTTCTTAGAGCACAATAGTTTTCCATTGCATTCATATATTATAACTTTAGGCAATTTTAGATAACTTTAGGGCATTTTGAAAGCCTTCTCTTACCAAAACCTAAAATTATATGGGGCATTCTCTGACCTGGGCAAACAATGTCTGTGTAATACTTAACTAGGTAAAGAGGCTACTACTCTTCAGCATCACTGGTCCTAGGATCATTACTGGTTGCTCCCAGAGACTTGAGAGTGAAGGACTAATAATTTGCTAAGTGCACAGAAAGTACTCTTTCTATACTCAATCACAATCAGGACCACCTAAGACAAACAAGGTTTCAACCTTCTGTATTTTAATTCAGCTGACATTTATTAAGTCCCTAATGTGCAAAAGAGTTAGGCTAGATCAAAATATACAACAAATAAATAACAATTATCATCTTCAAAGAGCCTACATTCTTCTAGGAGATGCATACATTCATATAACTAAATTGTAAATTAAGAGCATATGGAAAATAATACAAATTTAAAAAGAATCCTTAGTACTTAAGAATCAGTGTATCAGATGTTAAATATTTCAGTCCAAGCACATATCCCCAGGGCTCTTCACTGGAGACCTCTTTCCACACTGACATTGAACTATTAGTGACTATATTTTGATACTCACCATTTAACTTCTCTAATTCCATTTTCCCCATATTTTCCTCTAAGCCTGTCTCTCTCATTTGATTCTAAGGAATAAAATGAGAAACAAAATCAATTTTTATGCTAACACCTTGGTAAATTTTCTTCTACAATATCTCTGACAGATTAGTGGAACAACCTTTCACCAAAAAGGAACTAAGTTTGTTCTGGGGAAGGAAGGGGTGGAGCCAAGATAGAAGAAGGAATTTAGCATTTCTGCTGAGCAATCTCCAAAACCAACTTTCTAAACATTTTTTAATGCTTCAAAATGAACTCTGAGTGCATTAACAAAAAAAAAAAGAAGAAAGAAAGAAAGAAAGAAAGAAAGAAAAGAAAGAAAGAAAGAAAGAAAGAAAGAAAGAAAGAAAGAAAAAGATTTCAGTGTCTCATTTTTTCCACCCCAGTTAACCTTAGAAGGACTAAAAGAAGGACTAAAGAAGGTCTGCCTATGGACACTGGATTGGTAGCTGGCCCAAATCCCATGTGACAAAGCTGTGTAGGCTGTGGGACCTAGAGATGTCAGCAGCAACAGTAGTGTTATACCAAAAGTGGTGAGGTAACTAAACTCCTGATCAGAAAGTTATTACAGGGACTCCTGTGCTAACACTGGGCATAGGACCAGGTGCCACTTGGTAGCCCCTTCATCCATTACCCATTTCTAGGGCACAGTTCCGGGGCAGAAAGAAAGGTTTGTGATTTGGGGAGCAAAGGCCCTATCTGGGTTAGTCAAGAGAACAGAAACCTTATTTGCCTTAGTACAAAGTATAAACCAGGAGGGTAATAACCAGAACTCTCCCCCATCTCACCAAATTGCAAACACTGAAACACAAACACAGAGAGAGAGAGAGAGAGAGAGAGAGAGAGAGAGAGAGAGAGAGAGAGAGAGAGAATTCCTGGAAGAGATAATAAAGCATATATATGTGTGTGTGTGTATGTATATATATAGGTCACAGTCAGTTCCAGAGCGCAGAGTACAGAATGCAGGTGCCAGGACACTGGTGTGTCCGAAGCTTCCGGCTCACAGACTGAGGGGGACTGAAGTGGATGATCAGAGGGGGACTGCAGGGATCTCTTTGCCAGTGCTAAGGCAGGAATCTCTTGCTTTGCCCGTGCTAGCATCTGGGTCGCAGTTCTGGGTGGTGGTCCTGGGATGAGGAGGAGCACTGGACAGGTGGAGCTCATAGTGGCAGTGGAGAGGAAACCCTCCTCTCACAGATCCAAGAGAGAAAAGACTGCTTGTGGCTGGTCACTCAAAGACCAGAGCTCAGGCCAGGAAAAAAGTAAACACCTCAACCCTTATCATACCACCTTGGAAGAACTGAAAATTTACAGGTCCCTACAAGTATCTCTGAAAACAGCTATACAAACCCCAGAAGCTTGGGACAGTACATTCTCCACATTGGAAGCAGACTTTTACCTTAACAAAGAGTTTAAAACTCAAGTAGTTGGCTGGGATCATGAGCAAACCTCAAAAAAAGAGTCAGACTATATTATCTTACTTAGGTGACAAAGAAGATCAAAACATACAACCAGAAGAAGACAACAAAGTCAAAGCTCCCACATCCAAAGCCTCCAAGAAAAATATGAATCCATCCCAGGCCTTGGAAGAGCTCAAAAGGGATTTTGAGAAGCAAGTAAGAGAAGTAGAGGAAAAACTGGGAAGAGAAATGAAAGTGATGCAAGAAAATCATGAAAAACAAGTCAACAGCTTGCTAAAGGAGACCCAAAAAAATGCTGAAGAAAATGACACCTTAAAAAAGCCTAACCCAAATGGCAAAAGAGGTCCAAAAAGCCAATGAGGAGAAGAATGCCCTAAAAAGAAAAATTGGCCAAATGGAAAAGGAAGTCCAAAAGATTACTGAAGAAAATAGTTCCTTAAAAATTAGAATAGAGCAATTGGAAGATAGTGACTTTATGAGAAATCACGACACAGTAGAACAAATCCAAAAGAATGAAAAATTAGAAAACAATGTGAAATATCTCATTGGAAAAACAACTGACCTGGAAAATAGATCCAGGAGAGAGAATTTAAAAATTATTGGACTATCTGAAAGCCATGATCAAAAAAAGAGCCTAGACATCATCTTTCAAGAAATTATCAAGGAAAACTGCCCTGATATTTTAGAACCAGAGGGCAAAATAGAAATTGAAAGAATCCACCATCTCCCCTGAAAGAGATCCCCAAAGGAAAACTCCTAGGAATATTGTAGCCAAATTCCAGAGTTCCCAGGTCAAGGAGAAAATATTGCAAGCAGCCAGAAAGAAACAATTCAAGTATGGTGGAAACACAATCAGGATAACACAAGATTTAGCAGCTTCTACATTAAGGGACCGAGGGCATGGAATATAATATTCTGGAGGGCAAAGGAGATAGGATTACAACCAAGAATCACCTACCCAGCAAAACTGAGTATAATCCTTCAGGGGAAAAAATGGTCATTCAGTGAAATAGAGGACTTTCAAGCATTCTTGATGAAAAGACCAGAGCTGAATAGAAAATTTGATTTTCAAATACAAGACTCAAGTGGAACATGAAGAGGTAAACAGGAAAGAGAAATCATAAGAGACTTATTAAGGCTGAACTGTTTACATTCCTGCATGGAAAGATGATATTTATAACTCATGAGACCTTTGTCAGTATTAGGGTAGTGGGAGGGGAAAAATTATATGTATGTAGTATAGATAGATAGATAGATAGATAGATAGATAGATAGATAGATAGATAGATAGAGGGCACAGGGTGAGTTGAAGATGAAGGGGTGATATCTGGAGAATAAAATTAAGGGGTGAGAGAGGATTATACTAGGAGAAGAAAGGGAGAAGTAGAATGGGGTACATTATCTTGCACAAAACAGACGAGAGAAGGTTCTTACAGTGGAGGGGAAACAGGGAAGGTGAGAGGAAATGAGGGAATCTTATTCTCATAGGATTTGGCTTAAGGAGGGAATAACATACACATCAATTGGGTATGGAAATCTGTCTTACCCTACAGGAAAATAGGGGAGGAAGGGACAAGAGAGCAGGGGATGATAGAGAGAAGGGCAGATTGGGAAAGGGGTAATCAGAAGGAAGTACTTCTGAGGAGGGACAGGGTCAAAAGAAAGAATAGAATAAATGGGGGGGCAGGATAGGATTAAGGGAAATAGAGTTAGTTTTCACAACATGTCTACTATGGAAGTGTTTTGTATAACTGCACATGTATGGCTTGTATTGGCTTGCTTGCCTTTTTGATGAGGATGGGTGGGGAGGGAAGAAGAGAGAAAATTTAGAACCCAAAATTTTAAAAACACATGTTTAAAAAAAAATGTTTCCACATGCAACTGGGAAATAAGAAATACAGGAAATGAGGTAGAGAAATCTATCCTGCCCTGTAGGAAAATAGAAGGGAAGAGGATAAGAGAAGGGGGCGGAGAGATAGAAGGGAGGGCAGACTAGGGGAAGGTGTATTCAGAATGCATGCTATCTTGGGGTTGGGGGAGGGGCAAGAATGGTGAAAATATGGAATTCAAAATCTTGTGGAAGTAAATGTTGAAAAGTAAAAATAAATAAATTTATATATTAATGTAAAAATGCTGGAAATATGTAGGGAAACTTGAATTACATTCCACTTACAGAAATTTGTTAGCTGTGTAATCTTAAGCAAGTTATCTTATATCTGTTTGTAATAATAGTTCCCACCTCCTGGAGTTGTTCTGAGCATCAAAATAATATAATGATTGTAAAGTGCTTAACATAGTGACTGGCATATGCTAATCGCTACATTATTATTATTTCTTTTATTGAGCATAATTGTCTCATGCCTGATAACTCTAAAGAGGGTTTAAAATGCCAAAGGTAATAAGATTGATGATTTTTATATGGGATAATTTGGAAATGCATTCAACTGAATTTATGTCATCTGACTGGTAATAAGTTTTGTATTTCTAAATTTTCTTATATTGTGAAATTTGAGAGACCACTGTAACAAAAATGCTATTAGACAAAACAGCTTCTTTTTAATCTGCATGTTATTAGATTATGAATTGATCTTTTAAAAGGATATGACAAAAATGAATATTTGAAAACTGTTCAATAAAAAAAAGGAGTTTTTAAAATTGAGAGGAAAATGAGGGGAAGTGTGCAACACTTGAATCTCAGTCTCATATGAACTGGTTCAAAGAGGGGATCAAGGGGTTCCAAGACATGGAGATGAGCAGGGAAAGCCTTACAGTCACAGGGTGCAGACTTTCAAAGACACTGAGGCAGGATTTGTAAAACAGCATCAAATAGACGACTTTGACCAGAATGTTGAACATTTCAGGTGAGGTAATATACAACCTTCCTGAAAAAAAATAGATTAAAGCCAGGTTATGCAAGTTTTTTTTTTAAATTAGTTTGTATCTCATCCTAGAGACAATAAAGCTCCATAGAGATTTTTTGAGCTGGCAAGAGACAAGGTGAGAACTTTACTTTGGTGATACCAACTTGGCATCCATTTAAAGGAGAAACTGGCAAATGACGTTGGCTGCAGGGACACTAAGAAGCTGTTGGAAAACTCCACAGGAAAGGTGATGAAAGCCTAGAATGCTTGCCATGTGAATATGGAGAAAAGACTTGGGAATTGTGTCAGTACATTTAGCATCCAGGAAGCATTCATATGACATTGTGCCAGGTTTCTGTTTTCATACTCCTTTAACTGTCCCATTATGAAGTTAACTAAAAAGTTTCATGTCAATCTATATTGCTTGATTTAGAGAGCTCCCTTTCTTCCTGTTGATTAGAATTGGTTGTATTTATGATCCCTTCCATCCCTTTGCAAATCCCTCAGTTATCTTGTGACATTCATACCACATACAAGACTGACAGACATATTGTGGGTCCTGCTTAAAAATATTTGTTGAATTGAATGAAAAATGATTAGGACTTCATAATGGGAGGCACTTTTCTCTGTGAAACAGATCAGAACCTTGATGCCTAGGAATGACCATATGAACAACTTTCTTTATCCTCCAGGTGATCCAGAGTTATTTCCAGGCAAAAACAAAAACAAACAAACTCTGCAATTTCCTCATTCTCTATATTTGATTGCCTCTCTTTTTTTTTTACACCTGTTCCAACATTGTACCTCTTCTTCCATTTTCTTCAAATTCTGGT